AGTATAGTTTATATATAGTTTAATATATAGTTTATATATAGCCCTTGTGCAAACAAATTATCAAGTGATAAGTTGGAATGCCGTACTGGTATAAAGATGTGGTGGCAGCCCTCTTGAACAGTATTTTAGTTTTGACTTGGATGTTCTCCACCTAGTTTAAGGACCCTGGGCAATAAACAAGGCTGACTTGCGTTACATCACAGCAACAAACAGTAACCACTGAAGTCCATAAAACTGGGCTAATGTGTAGGTAGGGGGTTTCACATGTATAAATTAATTCAGCATCCTCCCAACAGTGCTGTTACAATAAAAATAAAGCATTTTTATTGTGGGTTTTCTACTACTTAGGTTAAAAAGCTGTGCTTTGTTTCTAACAAGATAAACAGCAAATACAACATCCAAATTGTTTTCATTTTGTGATTACCTAGCTAAAACTAGTCTATGTTATCTCAAATAGAAGACTGACTGTAATGTTTTCATAGTAGAGAACACTGGAACATTCAAAGGATACAAATTCAATTAAGTGTGTCTGAAACGGACACTCTTTGGAATAGCACTGGTTCTCTTGCAAAGGTTTTGGAATCTTTTATACTTCTAATAAGAACAATTATAAGAAAAGCCCTAAGGCCAAAGTTTGTCAGTTGTGCTAAAACGTACCATATGTGCTAAATGCATGTGTAACACAAACTGTGCACCATTAGAATATTTGTGTGCTTCCTTAAGCACTCACAAAAGTATATACATATCTTTCTTTGTATAAGCTCACATCTTAACACGCAATAATAGATACTCCGGGTTGGGGGGGAGTAGGGCAGGGGGACAGGGAGAACCTTTCGGAATTCAGTCACCTCCAACACCTGGATGGTTCTTGCACAATGACCACCAGGGAAGTTTGAATTCAAGGCAGACGCTATTCAGAGTAGCCTCCACTTGGTAGGGAAAATGTCAAAGCAGCTGCCATGTAGTTTGCTTGTATGACTTTGTGCCTGCTGGATCCCTAGGAGGGAACAAGACCGAGTGGCTTAAGGAGATGAGGCAGAAAACTGATTGTACAGACAGCAGATCCTAGTTTTGGAAGGCTAACAAAAATGATGGGGAACTTCTGAGGAACACATAGCTGATGATTCCTAATCCTGTGAACAAAAGCTGAAATAACGTAATTTGGAATCAAAACTATTTTATACCATGAAGTTAATGGGATTTTTGCCATCAGTCCTGATAGTAGTTTTTAAAGTCCAAAGTTGTGCAGGCATTTTAGAGGGTAAAATGAATTTTAGAAGCTATAGTGCTTACACACAGACGTTAAAAAGTTAGGAGCTTTGGGTTTGGGGTTTTTCTTCCCCCCAGAAATAGTACCATTAGCAAGAAATTATTGGCTTTCATACTTCAAACTGTTTCTCCCCATTTACCATTCACATCTATGAATTACTGAAGCTAATTTGAAGAGTTCTTCTCTCATGTCGGACAGACAATTGTACAGTAGTAATAAAAAAGTCCACGGTCTTGCAAGAAACAAGCTGTAGTTATATATACAGCTTAAGGAAAGGCAGAATTACTGGTTTCCCAGACCTCCAATACCACATCTTTTGGTTCAACACTGTGTTATTTAAGACTAACAATATCAAAACAACGCGATTAAAAAATGAAACTGTCAGCTTTATGGAACTGGCTTTTAAAAACAAGCCGTCATTCTACCTTACTTGTGAGCTAACTTAGTTCATCCTTACTCCCAGTGGAATGGGCCACGCTCTGTGGTACCTGGTACACCAATTCCTCCGTGGCACCTGGCCCCAGTTGCCCCTTTGGTGTGTCGTACAGCGCCTGTGCTGATGATGTGCTGTCTGTCCTAGATAAGAGTTTATTGTAAGTTCCAACCAGTGGAGGAGCTTGATTCCCTGCAGCTTTGAAGGTGGAAATGGAAGGAACGCCAAGAGGTGTGCTGGGATGGCTGGACATGTCCATGATTATTGGAGTTGCATATTCTGGTCCAGTTATAGGTAGTGGTTCAGCGTAAGCATGGTAAACTTCTTGTATAGGTGAATTGTAAGGATCCAAATCGGCGTAACTCGCTTCTTTCCCTTCCTCTGGTTTAAAGGTTGATCTCTGATGAAGCGTGCCGACAATTCCACCTACTAGTGGCTGAGCATACTCTGTGTTGCAAGCCCCAACAAAACAAAATAAAAACACACTTAATGGAATTTTTTTTTTTTACCGTGGCATCACATTAAATACAACCTGTCAATAGTGTCACAGAAATTATTATCCTAGATCAAACCAGTAGTCTGCTAGTGCAAATTGCTTTGGGAAAAAAATCATTTCCACCCAATAGTTAAAGCCACTGGGATAGCTACAACATCCTGACTTCTCAGGTTTATACTTCTTCCCTTGTGAGCTGCAATTTTCTATGTAAATCTGCTTCAAAACAAAGTTTTTTGAAATGTGCTTCCCTGCAAAATCAGAATTAAATGAAATTATCCTGCCTGGCTTTGGATAAAAAGTGGTCCTTGGGGCTGAGGGTTGTCCTCTGAGGGCGGAAGCCTGCATGTGCTCAGCTGAGATGTTTTAGTTAAACAGATAATCTGAGTTACAAAAGCTGGGGGTGAGAAACCTGGCTAGCTGGGCAAAAACAGACAAGCAGCCAAAGAGGGAAAAGTAATTCTGCCTGCTGCGAAGCCGTAATTCCTGCACGTCTGTGTATTTCTGCCGCCAGCACATAAGCACAGAACCAAAGGCACAGTGAGTCGTCTCCCTCTAATGACTGGTTCACCAAGTAAAGGGCATATGCCAATATCAGTAACTCCTCCTCCTCTAGATCAGAAGAATGATTTAATCCATACAGTCAGTGTAG